CTTTGATATTAAATTTATAACAAACGACACTGAAAACCATTTCAATAAGCAGAAATAAAGTATCAGTAAATAGGTTTATAATATTTATACACTACAGTATATATAATATATATCCTAAGTATATATATATAAACTGTTATATATCCTAAATATATATATAACTGTTATATCCTAAGTGTATATATATATATATATATATATATATATATATATATATATATATATATATATATATATATATATATATATATATATATATAAACAGTATATATCCTAAACTGTTTTGTAGGAACATCAAGCCATTCTGGTGAATATATGGCAAATGAAATATAGAAAGTTTTAGAAGAAATAAATCCTAATAAAGTTTTGGGCATTGTGACTGACAATGCTGCAAATATGAAAAATGCATGGACTCGTCTAAAAGATTGTTATCCCCATCTTCATCGCTATTGATGCATTTCACATAAACTTTAAGTGTCACAAGCAACTGATACTGTTAAAGAGATAAAAAATTCTCATTTATCTGTTGCAGCATTTAGAGATATACAAAAAAAGTCAGCTGGTGTAGCAACATACATTCCCTTGAAACTACCAGTACGAACTAGGTAATGCAATAAAAGCATAAATATAATGTACATTACAAAAAAAATTAAATTATGTAACTAATTTTATTATAAACTCATAAAAAATTCTCCGCGCAGCGGCCTTGTTCATCAAGGTTTGTGTTTCGGAGTTATAGAGTTGAGAGGGTTATAACCACAAACAAGTAGCCTCCTCGTCTGTAGTGGCCTTCTCGGCCTTAAGAAGGTGAATTAGATTAAAAAAAAAAAAAAATTACTTTAATTAAAATTTATTAAAGTTATTGCAATTTTTGTGTATTTCATTTAAAGGTGGGGATCAACTGTAGCATGCTTAGATAGCATACAGAAAAATAAGCAACCATTGAAAAACATTGGCTATTTCTGAAAACAGTGGGCTTAATTCAGCAACAAAAAATATTCTTCTATCAGATATTTTTTGGGATAAAGTTGAAGGTTTTTTCAAATTGCTGTCACCAATAGCTGATGCAATAAAGAAAACTGAATCAAATACTCCCATGTTATCTACTGTTGTGGAAACTTTTCACTTCTTGGAAGATCACATTTTTTAAAAATTTAACAGTTAGCCCTTTCTCAAAAAAGGAAGAAGCCAAAATGATTTTCAAAAAAAGAAAAGAATTTTGTTTAACAGAAATTCACTTGGCAGCCAATATACTAGATCCCAAATTTCAAGGCAGAGTCTTGACTGGAGAACAAAAGGTATTTCCTACACATAATTCATATATGATTCTTAAAATCAAATACATTTTAGCCTAGTGCATTAAAAGTAAAATTTTTAAAAAATTTTGAATTATTTTAAATACTATTTTCATGTTTGAAAATACTATTTAAAATAATAAAGTAATTATAAAATTATTAAAAGAAAAATCTTTTTTATAGATTAATGCATGTGAGGCGATACATAACATTGCTGCAAGTATACCTGAAGTAAACAAATTAAACTGATGTATGACTTTGCTAATTATCAATCAAAGGGTGGTATATTTTCAAAACTCTTTATTTGGACTGCAGTTGGAATAACCAACCTATAAATTGGTGGAAAGGGTTGTGTTCCTTTACTAAACTATCAAAAGTTGCATCTAAAATTCTTCAGCTACCAGCTTCAAGTGCAGCATGTGAGAGAAGTTTTAGCACTTATTCTAACATTCATAATGCAAAAAGAAATCGCTTAATGACTGAAAGAGCTGGAAAACTAGTTTTAATTTCACAAAATTTAAAACTTGAAAATATTGAAAACACCAGTTATGAAATTGGTACAAGCATAACTACTCCTCAAATTAATAACTCGAGTGTAAATAAAGATCCAAGCACTTCAATGCCTTGGTCAAAGTCTGAAGCGGTTATTATAGAAAGTGACAGTGACTTTGTTTATGAATCATTAGATGAAGGTAGTCTAGGGTAGGAAGACTCGGACTCAGAAAGCACATCCATTTAGAATATCTTTTATAGTTTAAATACATGTTAAAATTACTAAATTATTGGCTTTTTTGCCAAAAAACTGTATTTAACCAGGTATTGAATCCATTGTATTGACATTGCATATTATAGGCTCCATCGATGGCATTGCCAATACATATACTTACATCAATACCTATCTTTTTAAAAACGCCACAAACCAAATCATACATTCCTTTGTTGTTGATGTGGAATTGACTATAGATATTAAATGTTCATGTACAGCTTCGGTTACATTTTGGATTACAATAGAACACTGATCTTGTACATTAATATCTTGTATGGTATCAATTTGAACAGCTATATAAAATTATATTGTAAAATAAATAGTTTAACATTAGTTACCTAATTTGGTTTCTTTATGTTATTATAATATTACTTTCGGTCAGCTAAAGATGGCCGCTAAAATTTATATAATTAGCCGGCAGATGTATTAGCCTGTAATTATATGTAATTATAGACCAGAAAAAAGTTATGATGTCTTCAGTTACATTTTAATTTTGATTATAATAATCAACGTTGATTATAATAATCAACGCGAAATAAAATGTAGCCAAACTAAAAATATGATAACTTTTTTGAGGGCAACCGGCCCACCGGGAATCTCCCGGTATCCCGGCGACCCAGTCCAAGCCTGATTATTGAAGAATTTAATGCTAATTTATCGTAGAGGTTAAACAACTGGATGTAAACTGTCTACTCATTTTGTTAAACAATTTGCCGTTTTAAACAAAATCTTCGCCTACAGCACATAAACTAAATTGGTATTTCTAAACAACGTTCTTTCGATTATCAATCTAAAAAACCAATTAAAATGTAATAAATAAACTTTTTTCACTGTAAAAAAAAAATAACTTTAAAACTAAAAAATCACTAATTCATAAATTTGCTATATACTTAATTTACTACACAAAATTTAGTTGCTACATTATTTAAAATATTATTGCCTGAAGCTATGCTATTATAAAGCAATTCTTTTATAATCGATTAATCATTACCCCTATCGTAGCAGAAAGTAAAAAAACTTTTTTTTTTTTTTTTGCCGACCTGATGTCGGCTAAGGTCGGCATGCTTGTGCTGACCTGAAATCCATCATATCGCTGACCTGAAATCCATCATATGAAATCGACCTGAAATCCATCATATCTGAATCCATATCATATCATATCCATCGACCTGAAATCCATCATATACAAACCCATCATGACTTGAAATCCATCGACCTGAAATCCATCATATCGCTGACTGGAGATTGCAGCCTCTAATTAATTTACCTTTACCGCTAATCATTACAAAGAATTGTAGGACTCTTCGCTTATTATTCTAAGTTCATCTCTAAATATTCTAAACTAAGTTTACCTCTAAACATCTCTAAACATTCTAAATACTCTAAGTATTTCCATTATTACAGTGTTCAACATTCCCACTTAATCAGGAAGCTAGAGATGCATTCACACTATTAAAAAACAATATTGCCAATGTTGTGATAAAAACAATTGATGAAACAATCCCATTTGTTGTGGAAACCAATGCATCTGATTTTTCATTAGATGCAATAATAAACCAAAATGGACAGCCAGTAGCATTCATTTCGAAATCCCTAAACAAACATGAAATACATCAACCAGCTATTGAAAAAGAAGCATACACAATTGCAGTAGCTCTCCAGAAGTGAAATATTATTTGACCGGATGTTTTGAATATGTTCAATCAGAACCATTGAGGCAAAACGAAAAACGATAAAATTATGTGATGGCATACTGAACTCAGTTGCTACAGCTATGACATACAGTATCAATAAATTAAATATGAACAAGGAACTGATGTTTAACATATTTCTTATGCTCCACCCTATTAAATTGAAAATCACCTAATAATAAAAACAAAAATTTGACATGTTCCTATATATGTAATAACAAATTAAAATCAGCAGAGCTCCATAATGCTATGCATCATCCAGGTATAACAAGAATAAACCAATTTGTCTGCAGTCGGAATTTGCAATCCTCCATAGAAGAAATCAAAAGTGTTGTGAACCAGTGCATCACCTGCTGTGAACTTAAACTTTGATTTTACAAACCACCTAATGATCACTTTATAAATGCAACCCAACCATTTAAATGACTCAATGTAGATTTTAAAGACCCACTTCAAACGTTAACTAAAAATCATTTTATCTTTACAATTATTGAGGAATATTTGCCTTTCTTTGTCCTGATACTTCCTCATCTTCAGAGTTAAAGTATTTCAAGAACTTGTTCTCTTTATTTGGCACCCCTGCTTATGTTCATTCTAATAGAGGCAGCTCTCTAATATCAGAGAAACTACATAATCTCCTGCATACTCAAAGTGTTGCAACTAGCAGAACAATACCTTATAATCCAAGAAGAAACGGACAGGTAGAGAGCTTTAAAGGGATAATATGGAAATCAGTGAAACTAGCTCTTAAATCAAGAAATCTACCAATCCAAAACTGGGAAATCAAATAAAAATACACTCAATATAGTTATTACTATGCACTGCAATAAATTTAACACCACATGAGAAGTTCTTCAATTTTCAACGGAGATCTTTAAATGGACAATCTATATATATATATATATATATATATATATATATATATATATATATATATATATATATATATATATATATATATATATATATATATATATATATATATATATATATTATATATATATACACACACACACACACATGCATACACATATTACAAAAAAGCAAATACTTACCGTGTAAGTATTTGCTTTTTTGTAAAATCTGTCCTTGTAAGTGATAAAATAGGCGAATTTATATGTATATGTATATGTATATGTGTATATATATATATATATATATATATATATATATATATATATATATATATACACACACACACACACACACATGCATACACATACATACACATAAAGCAACTAAACTTACCCATTGGAGGTTCATGCGATTTGATCTTTGAGTGACCAAAATCATGATCTCGAAATGCTGATGCAGGAGGGCCAGTTACATCATAACCATGGTCAGCTTCTATATATATGTGTATATATATATATATATATATATATATATATATATATATATATATATATATATATATATATATATATATATATATATTAACTTAATATAAAAAAAAATATATAAAAAAATAAAAAAAATCTATATATACATATGCATGCATAAAACGATATAAAACATACCTATCTATATATACATATATATCACATGTATAAAGAGAAAATAAAAAATAATAATCCGCAATACAAATATAAATACCAATAAGGGGAAAGTAGAAAGATAATAAAAATTTCGATGTTGTACAAATTTTTGGCACTTTACAATTTAGGATAAAATAATTTAGGCAATGATAATGATTGCAAGGATGCATCCCAAATTATATTTGAGAATGGAGTTTCACCTACATTAATCTATTACTTAATTTTAATTGTATCTTCCAACACTGTGATTTTTATTATTATTTTCTGACCTCCATCTATTGTTTATACATTTTTTATTCATTTTATTTATTTAACCATGTAATTAAAAAATTACAAATTTATAATTTTACAAAATTAGGTTTAGTGTCATAGTTAAAAACTAGTCTTTAGAATGATACTTTATTAAAATAAACAAATAAAGCAAAAAACAAACCAAAAAAAGTAATAATATTGATATTGACTAAAAAAAATCAATAAAAAGAAGAATTTTAATATTTAAAAAAGCATAACTAAATAATCATTATATTATTATATAACACAAATTTATTATATAAATGATTATAAAACAAAAAAGGAAAAAAATAAATAACCTGACTTAAGAGATAATGAATTTATGATGTGAGATAACACAATATTTAACAATCAGAAGTATGTTAGATAATAGAAAAGAAAATAGAAATATATATTTAAATATGATGATGAGATAAAAAATATGAAACTTGAATAATAGCAAGTTTTATATATAAAGCAACATTAATAAAAATAAATAGCAATAACACCACAAAATTTATGACAATATAAACAATAAACAAATGTACACTTCAGTATAAACAATACACAAAAATACATGACATTATAAACAATAGTACACAATACCATGAATTTACAAACATTGAGAACAACATAAATTCTTAAAAAGTTAAAATTGTTTTTTTTTGTTTTCTTTTAATAACTCATTAAAGTTTTTTATTCTTGAATTTATCAATTTCTATTAAATAATAATTTATTATTTACTAATTTATTAAACTCTTTATATTTGGAAATACATTTTTTATTATATTTTTTATAATGATTTTTTTATTAATTATATTTTTTATTTTCTATTAAATATATATATTACTTTTTAACGACAATTGATTAAATTTTATATATTTGTATTGTGAATTGTTATGTATGTATGTATGTATGTATGTATGTATGTATGTATGGCTGTATATATGTACGTGTATGTGTAAGTATATATATATGAATATACACATATACATATATATATATATATATATACATATATATATACATACATACATATATATATATATATATATATATATATATATATATATATATATATATATATATATATATATATATATATATATATATATATATATATATATATATATATATATACTATTGGGTGGACACTAAAAAATCTAGTCAACTTTAAATGAAAATAAAAAGCATCATTTATGGTTTTAGAGAAATCTCAATTTAAAGTTGACCAATTTTTCTGTTTCCACTCGATAGTTGTTGGTTTTAATTTTGTAGTTATGATATTTTTTATATATTTATTATTTTTGCGCAACAAGCCAGCATGTTTAGCATGATCACTTTGAGTGTCAACCTTATAGACTGAAGGTCTAAAGTTTCCCACCATAAGCATATTTTGATAAGATTATATCGTTTATATTTCCCACCATAATATTGTTTATAATTCCCACTATATTTTGATATGAGTATATCGTTTATAATTCCCACCATAAGCATATTTTGATATGAGTATATCGTTTCTATAACATGAAAGATGCTTATATTTTATTATTTCTTTTTTACTATAAACTTTACTATAATGTCTTTGTTTTGTTCAGAACATCTGTTCGATATATCTTTTTAGTTTTTTCATTTTTTCTCTTTTCAAAAATTTTTCTTTATTTCACTTGGGCTTGACAGCTTGGTCTAGTCATTTGACAGCTTGGTCCTATACACCTTTATGTTGTTAAAGCAAAGAAAAAAAACATTTTTTTTGCTATGTAACATGTTTACATGCGCTCTGGACGTAACTAATAGTCTTAAATTTAATAAAATAACAATTATACAAGAAATGAACATAAAAATGTAGACAAAACCATAAACTAAACATTGAAAACATTTGGTTAATGTTACCAACTTGTTTTGTGCACAGTGACTTAAAGTATTCAATGTTTTTTTATAAAGTTAAAACAAGGTTCATCTTCCAACCTTTAATAATATTCTAGTAAAAGGTTTATAAGAGGGCAATAACCATTATTATGGTAAAAACTTAAAGTAGCATCATTGACTATAATGGGCTTTGGAGAAATTACTATTAAATTACTAAATTTTTTTTATCTTTTTAAATATCTTCACCAACAAGGCTGCAAGCAACCACTTTTAGAGTCAGAGGTTACTAGAAGAAAAAAAGGATAAAGTTTATAAAGCAAGATAACGATTAACAGACAACTTAAAAGATTTCAAATTATATGAATCAGGAAAACAAGGTAAAGAAAGCGAATTCCAAAGAACTGATGTGTAATGGAAAAAACTAGACAAATAAGAATTTTCGGAGCACTTAGCAACAGTCACAGTAAAGGGGTGAGACTTAATTGAATGAAAAGTAACACAAGAATTAACTTTAGTAGATGACACAAGAGATGCTAGCTTTTTAGAGCTGCCTCCATTATAGTATTTTTTATAGCAACATTACGAAGATGTAATAATAATTGAAGGTTGGCTGCAAGAGCAGGTCCAACTATATTTACAATGCGTTTATGCACTTTGTCTAAAAAAGATTGGGAAAAAAGTAATTTTGTTATGTTAAAAACGAAACAAAATTACTTTTTGTTACGTTTTTAACCGTGTTTAAAATAAATTACTTAATAATTCATCTCTTGAAACATTTTACTAAAGCTTCGAAAAACGCTTTTACAAATTATTTCAAATGATTGTTTAATGAATGAACAAATTTTAATGAAATTTCTAAAGAGTGTTATATTACTTTTAAATTCTATAAACATTTATTTTTACCGTATATATAACGAAGTCTATTTAAAACAGTAATTTTTAATCATTTTATGCTTTTATTAGTTAGCCAAGTTTAAAAAAAAATAGTTAAACAATTCTTGGTAAAAATAGAAACAAAAAAAAAAAAAAAAAGCAATTATATCATTGCAACGGAAGATTTAATTCAACTTATTCATAATTTAAAGTAAGTTAAAAAATTATATTTTAAAAGATTTTTAGAAAGATGGAAAAACAGTTTCAAATAAATTATTTAAATTTATCATAAAACATGCCTGCCTTAAAAAAAAATTAAAATTCATTATTTGTTAATTTCCATAAAATGAGTTTAAACAATCACTGATTACTTTTTTCTTTTATTTAAAGCCTTAGCATTAAATAAAAAATTTAAGAAAAGATCAACAATTTAAAACTATTTATAAAGTAACATAGTTGGACCTGTAAACATAGATGGACCTGCTCTTGCAGCCAACCTTCAATCTCTGTCATATGGTCGTAATGTTGCTTCTCTTTCTCTTTTCTACAAATACTATAATGGGCACTGCTCTAAAGAGCTAGCGTCTCTTGTGCCATCTACTAAAATTCATTCTCGTATTACTCGTCATTCAATTAAGTCCATCATTTTTCTATTACTGTTCCTAAGTGCTCCAAAAATTCTTATTTGCCTAGTTTTTTTCCTCAAACATCAGTTCTTTGGAATTCGTTTCCTTTATCTTGCTTTACTGATTTATATAACTTGCAATCTTTTAAGTCATCTATCAATTGTTATCTTGCCCTACAATCTTCATCTTTTCTCCTCCAGTAACTTCCAACACTAATTAGTGGTTGCTTGCAGCCTTGTTGGAAGCAAAGATGTTAAAAAAAAAAAAAAAAAAATTTTAAATATAATTTAAACTGTTAAAGAATCAAAATTTCTTTCAAAGCATCAGTCATTTCTGTCCATGCTTGCAATAAAGAGATGAAACCTGGATAGTGGGTGTTAATTTTGCAATCAATTTGATATATGATTTCCAAAAAAGATTAGAAGTAAAAATTAATCCTAGAAAACGAAGGGTACATGACTCATTAAGTACATTACCATTCATAAATATTGGAAGATCTAGACTGTTGCGATAACCATTAGCTGAAAAAAATTTAGTTTTGTTTGAGTTAAATTTCATCAACCAATAAGAGCTCCATGCTGTAGCAGAAGGGAGATCCTTTTCAAGCTCAAATGCCCCCATCAAGCGATCAAAGAGTGTTGGCTTCTCATCAAGACAATAATAAATGCTAGTATCATCAGTGAACTATGCCACCTTAGATGTAAGAATTTCTGGAAAATCATTTATGTAAATTAAAAATAGTATATAGAGCCAAGGAAAGAACCTTGAGGAACCCCTAAAGTCAGGGTCAGTAAAAACCTGGATTTTTTTAAAAAACCCAGACCAGTGGAATTTTTTGGGTAATTTTGGGTTTTATTGGGGTTTTTAGAGTTTTATTTTTATTTTGTACCGGTTAATTTCTTTAATGATATTGGAAATTAGTAAATTGAGTACTTTAAATTTATTTAAAAAATATTTTATATAATGTCATTCAATAATTTATAACCAGAATTTTTCAAACTATTTTAAAAAAATAACGTTTTTGTATAAGGATCATTAGTTGTTGACATGAGTCACAAGCTATATATAGCAAACAATTTTTTTGTAAAAACATTGAGGTTGTTGATTAATAATAAAAACATTGAAAATAAAATGGCTTTTAAATGCTTTAAACAACAAGCTAACAGGGTGT